TTGTGTCACGTAACGTCACATTTACCTCAGAAAAAACATATTCGGTGACCATAAACTCATTAGTCAGCCAGAAAAATAAACTGTAGAGAGGGGTATTTTGCTAAATATATGCACCATATAACATATTCATTATAATTTTTACTGTTCTTCAATGAATTGAAGTAGAAATATTATTATGTAATTGTAACTTATTTTATTATAAAAACTTCATTAAGTGTAATTTAAACAGTTGTATAGCCTAAAAAATCTGTCAGTTTTAACCTTCAATATTATAGTAATGTAGTACCAACTGACTCGTGTATATTTTACAGCATTAGTTAAGAGATTATTTTTCCTTGAGAAAATTTGTCATGTACTGTACCTGATATATATCCAAAATAATCTATATCTAATCGAAACTAAACGAATCGCAAGCTTGTGAATGAGAATCGAATCGAATCGTGAAATTTGTGTCAAAACCCAGTCCTAGTATTTATGTATATAAATTTGTGTAAAAGGACATTTGAATAAAGTATTATACTGTAATAAGGAATAAGGAAAGATTGCACTGCATCCATTGGGCCAAAGCTGTACCCTGGGTTTAATGGGAAAGATGCATGTTCGGTGGAAAAGCTAATAGAGAAAGTGAGCTTTAAATACTGAGTAGATGGCCTTCTCTGTCAGCTTTTTGAGTTTACAGTCTCATATGTGTGTCGTATTTGTCCTGTTTGGGTTCATCAAGAGCGCTTTTGTTGCTGAAGTCTTGTGTTTCGCCCTGCAGTGATCCTCATCCACGCTTCTCTGAGACTTCGCAGCATGAAGAACAAGTTGGAGAACAAGATCGAGGGCGTTGGCCTGAAGAAGACGCCCATGGGAGTCATACTGGATCTCCTGGATCAACAAGAAGAGAAGATCAACAAAATCCAGGATTTCTTGGAGAGTAAGCTGAAAGATTAAGCATGAAGCACCTCAGTGTCCTCTACATGCAGCCACTCTTTCTTTTTGAGTTGTTTTGTGTTTGTTTTGGTCTTGGTTTGACAGCCAAATACCAAAGTGGAAATATCTTTTAAATACCAAAGTATGACGAAGTTCCAGACGCACACGTTTGTCACATCACCAGAGAGTATGACTTGCTAGTGTAAGACTGTCTGTATAAGACTCATTCCCAATCTGTATGCAGCTTCCATTGACATTTTGTCTATTTTAGTTTTTATTCAGAATGAATTAGCATAAATGCATATGCTTTGAATAGATTTCTACAGACAGAGTCACTGAAAGCACTTTGAAATATTGTAGATTTGGTCATACCTTATTTTTCCCCTGTGGCGAAAAGATCATCGTTCTTCTGGCGCACATTTGTAATAGAAATTAAATGTTTTCATATGAGCTGATGTGACATAATGACGGAGGAGTGTGTATTTATTGCATGTTTTGCTTATTTTTTGGCTAACACAAGCTCTGCAGTGAAGAAACATTCACATGCTTCTGAAATTAATGCACAAACACTGTTTGTTTGCAGGTTTGAACAGATTTAATAAAGGTGGAATGTGGAAAAGTTTGGGCATGTTAATATGAGTCAGTATGGCAGAAATCAGACTGTCCTAACATTACATTGCATTTGAAGTAATGAATTGAAGTACAGTATGTTTGGGATTGAGATCAAAGGCAGTGTAAATCTCATGATCTCCGTGCAGATGATCGATTTTCAGGTAACCTTCCTTCAGCTCCCTTTATGCAGTAATAGGATATATATATATATATATATATATATATATATATAGGACTTCAAGTTAAGATCATATATTTGGTTTTAAAGGATTTCATTTGATAATTGCTGATAATGCCTGATCAAGCATCTGTGTGTGTGTGTGTATATATATATATATATATATATATATATATATACACATGTTTGTTAGC